CTATGCTGGGTGGAAGAAGCTGTGACTGCCCAGTGTGGAGAAGGGATTTTGTCCATACCCTCTTATCCAAAGTGAGTTTGGGGTCTGCTGCAGACAAAGGGCATTGAATTTGAGCAGCTCACGCTCCTGAGCATACCTTCAGCCAGGAACACACACCCCGCATTGCCCAGGACAGGAACCCTGCAGGGAGGAGCAGAGACAGCATTGGAACATGGTGGGGATACCTTTTGCCCCTGTGCCCCACAGGCCCTGCCTGTGCCCCCAGGACTCACGAGGAGTTGAAGCTGCTGCCGTCCCCCCACTGCAGCTCCCGGCCCCGTCTGCGCAGCCCGAGCCAGTGATCCTCGTTCCTGGTGAGGCAGAAGAGGAACTCCTGGGAAGGAGAGAGGAGCCGGCACTGGGAGCTGCACCCCCGGCCCAGGAGCCCCCCAGGCTCCCCTCAGCCCCCCCACAGCCCCCAAACCCTCTCTCTCACCATTTCCCAGTCCTGGAGCACGGCCAGGGAGGCCCCGAGCTCAGAGCACCGAGCCTGAGCCTGATCCCAGCTGAGCTGATCCCTCGAGAGGAAGTAGCAGATCCCGCGGTGCCCGACCCAGCCATGGGGACAGGCCAGCAGCACTGGAGTGTCAGCTGTAACTGGGGTTACTGGGGTCTCTCCACAGCTTCTTACTGCAAAGGGAAGATAAGAAGGTCTAAGGATTCCCCTGTGCAGGGAGCAGGGACCCCTCTCTGCCCCAGGGGCTGAGGCAGCTGCCCCTCCCTTACCTGACACAACAGCCAAGGCCACCACCAAAGACAGGAGCAGGAGCAGAGCCAGCACCAGGGTGAGCATGGGATGGGATCTGATCCACACTTTTGGAGCTGATAAAGCAGGAAAGAGTCACTGGCCACGAAGATGGGGCTGTCCTGAGCAGGCCCAGCCCTCCCATCCCCCACCCAAGGCTCAGAGAGCACAGGAGGGACCCCCCAGCCCGTGAGCCCCTCACTCATCTGGCAAAAGGAGAGACCAGGGACAGGGACACAGCCAGGGCCAGGGCACAGCTCTCAGCAGAACTGCCCAGGGTCAGGGGTGTTAGTCTCGTGGCCCAGCAGAGCTCGAGGCCCCTTCCAGACCCCTGGGAACAGCCCCAGCCCTGCCAGCCCTGTGCTCCTGGGTTGACACTGTCTCCTCCCTACAGGCCACAGCGCTGGCCCTGCAGTCACCTGTGAGGGCTCTTTCCTGTTTATCCCAGGCTGCTGATCTGCCTTGGGGACCCAGCAATTCCCTCACACTTCCATCACTGATGCAGGATCCTTTCTCCACATCTTCACTCGCTGCACTCTCACCAGTGGCACCTTCCTGCTTAGGGCAAGCCGCTTCTTGTGCCCGAGGCAAGTCTGTAACCTCGGCCGATGATCCGTTCTGGAGACAATGGAGCTTCTTCAGAAGCCCATGAATGCAGTTGGATTGCCGCTCCTCCAGCACAGAGCCAACAGGTCTGTGCGTGGAACAAGGAGCACCTGGCTCTCGAGACATTAGCAGTGCTGAAAAAGCCACTCGCAGATCGG